CCAAATAAAAAGGGCTCATATTAATATCAGAAACATATGAGAAGATATTGCAAGCATGAAACAAGAACAGGATAGTACTTTTAAAATATTTCAGCCCTGGCCGGTATGGCTCAGCGGTTAGAGCGTCAGCCTGCGGTCCTGAGAGACCCGGGTTCGGTTCCTGCTAAGGGCACGTACCTCGGTTGTAGTTTGTCCCCGGCCCTGGTCGGTCGTGCGGGTGGCAGCCACTCGATGTGTCCCTTTCACATCGATGTTTCTCTCTCTCTCTCTGTTCCTCTCTCTCCCTTCCACTCTACCTAAAAAATAAAAAATGGAAAAATGTCCTCGGGTGAGGATAAAAAATAAATTAAAAAAAATAAAATAAATAAAATATTTCAGATATCCCTGGCCAGTTTGGCTCAGTGGTTAGAGGATCGGCCTGTGGAACAAAGAGTCTCGGGTTTGATCCCAGGCAAGGGCACATACCTTGGCTGCAGTTCAGTCTCTGGCCCTGGTCAGGGCCATGTGGGAGGCAACCAATAAATGTCTCTCTCTCACTTTAATTTCTCTCTCCCTCTCCCTCCCACTCTGTCATAAAATAAATGCAAAAATATCCAAGCATGAGGATTTATAAAAAGAAATAAATGAAACATTTCAGATACATCCATACAATGGAACAGTAATAATGAGGATGAGCTATCAAGCTATGCATAGATATTGATTAATCTTTTTTTCAATATGTTTTTATAGATATTTTTAGAGAGAGAGGAAGGGAGAGATAGAAACATCGTTGTGAGAGAGAAACATTGATCAGTTGCCTCCTACATACCTCCTACTGGGGATCAAGTCCGAAACCCAGACATGTGCCCAGACTAGGAATTGAACCAGGACCTCTCAGTCCATGGGATGGTGCTCAATGAGCCACACCGGCCAGGCAATATTGATGATTCTTAAATGCTCATAATAAGTTAAAAATGCCAGTCTTAAGAGGCTACATACTGTATGATTCCAATTCTATGACATCGTGGAAAAGACAAAACTATACCAACAGTGAACAGGTCAGTGGTGTGCGGAGGCTGGAGGGAGTGTGAAGAGGGGCAGCCCGGGGATTTCCAGGGCAGTGAAACTGTTCAGTAGGATACTTTAATGGCAGATTTATGCCATTATGCATTTCTTTGTTAGACCCACAGAACTTGACTACACAAAGAGTGAACATTAATGCACGCAATATTTAAAATAGTATCGAGAAGGCCAGGGTGACCTCAGGATGTAATACAGAATGTAACAAAAGACTAACTGTATTACAAATGCATGAAACAAACTCACTGATGGGGGAAAAGAAGGAACCTGCTGACTGTTTTTATTCCAGTATTTCAAACATTTGATCATAAATTCTGTTAATGTTAGTATAGGAAACTTATTCAAGTGACGTTTCCTGTAGATCCTCCAATACTCTGACAAAGACGGCGGGGCTAGTAATAGTGTGTTTTTTGCGACAAAGAAAAAAACCTGCTTTCTTGATAAGGTATCTTTAATTTTTTGAAAACAATTTAAGCAGTCCCCCCTTAAAAAAATAAATAAATAAAAAAAATAAAAACCACACCTGTTTACAAAAGAGAAAAGCAGACATTTATGTTAAAACATAGCCAGACACTTATATATGTTATCTTATTCCATCTCCCACAGTAAAGGAATTTCCATTCCCCTTTTACAAAGAAACGTTCCATGAATCAAGTCCTCGATCACAGAGTATGTGGTAGATTTTCAATGAGTATTTACAGGAAATAAGTGAAGGAATGAATAATTTAAGCACAAGTCACGCATGTAAAACAGTGTATTGTACAGTACACTGCTAAGGGTGGAAATACATAACAACTTAAGTACTGTTAACTGAGAAAATTCAATGGTCCCCGAAGTGTTCAGAAAAGGCTTCAGAGAGAGGACGAGAGCCGAGGGGGGCCTTTGAGTGTGGACAGATTACAGGTGAACGGCCAGGAGGAGGACGTTTCGGGGGCCGGGGGGGAGGCAGTCTCTCGGCAGACAAAAGCCTGGCTGTGGGGTCAAGCACTTTCCCAGGAGCCTTTCGACTCTAGTTTTTTCAACTGTAACATGTACAGACTCTACAACCTGTTCTATTAACTTTATGGCTCTCTTAAAGTTAATATTGAATTCTCTTCAACAAAAGAACAAATACAGAAAGATCATCAGATAAATCATTAAATTAAAGCACGTAAGGCCAAGGAGATTTTGGTGCCGGTAAGTTGTTAGAATGGTAAGTGGTGGAGTTGGGTTATGAACAGGGACATCTCTGGTTTTTTAGTTCCACAGACTTTCCATATCCATGATTTGGCTCCTCATTTGAGGAACAAAAGTCTGGATTGGTTATATTACATAGTACTTATTGAACAGTTAATATAGTGGGGTATTCCCATTATGATTTCTCTGTAAGTACAGGAGGAATAACAGAATACAAAATATGAATAGAACACAACTAACAGGCTCCATCTACCAAAAGAGGCAAAAGCAAAGGAACAGGTTGGGGGGAAATGACTGGTTTGGGTTGAATTTTAGCAGCTGCTAGATAAGCCTTGGATTTCCAGGGTTCCCTTCTCAAAAAAATTCTCCAAATTATGGGGAAAACCATTTGGAGCTCTGGCAGCTCTTGTATAACTGTTTGTACATACGTCTGCTCGTTCGGATCCCCAAGATTATGTTTCTCCTCAGTTATGCAGCCAAGTCGTCGCCCCTTGACAGTCGGGTATTCGGTATGTGCACTGCCTTGGCTCAGTAGTTTCAGTTACCCTCTAATCACGACCCCTTTGAAGATTTAGACTTGAAAGAAGAGATATGGTACTTCTTAGCTACTCCTACTCTGGAAGATACGCCTGGTCTGCACCTTCACCCCTTCTCTTCAGTTCAGTGGAAACCTGATAAAGACCAGGCCCAGTGCTTGTACAAACCTAGAGCTAATGAAGAAAGACAAATCCAGTGTTACTGCAAAAAAGTATCTATTATATCCCACCCCTGACTTCTCCCTTTTCACGAAAACATTACCCATTTGAGTTAATGTTACGTGTTTAAAAAAAAATGTAGTCGAGTCTGTTTAGTGCTTTAAAAAGATGACAAATTTTTCAGTAAAATGCATATAAATATTTCCAAAATGCTCTCATCTTAAGCAGAGCAATTGTGATGCAAGAAATAAAATAAAATAAAATAGATAAGAAATCAAGGTTCTATTTTCATTACCTCAGTAGACAAACTTACATTCAAAAATGTATTTTCATGTTTAATTAAACTTATTTGTAGGAGAGTTTGACTTATTCTTGAAATAATTTACACCCTGCCATCTTTTGGTGTAGGGGACGACACTCCAACCAACTGACCCGCCCGGCCAGGGCCATGCGTGTCCTTTAATCAATCAGGCTCCTTTTCTGGGGATCTAGAGAAAGAGGCATTATAGTTTTAGGCTTATACCATTTTGAACAGTTTCCCTTTAGCCAATTTTTATCTTTCTATCATATTTTTTAAGAAAATGTACAGATTAAGTATGTCAATCTTTCTTATTATATATCTACTGTGTACAGAACTCCTACTTCCATATGGAAATTATTGATGGAGGAATTTTAAAAATGCCAACTAACTCCTATTAGTTTTCTTATTAATATAAATAGTCTGATGTTTTTATGAAATTTTTTATTCCTATATGTAAATTATGGTATTTTCTTCTCCCTATAAAGACACTGTAAACTTGGTGAACTGAGCAATTAATTCTGTCAAGACTTCACTTGCACTTGCTGAAGGACTTGACAGCATCATCTATACTTTCAAGCACAGCCTGCTCCTGCCCCGCCCCTCGGGATTCTCTCCCTATCCTCCACTCCGACCACAGAAAGTCAGTGGAAAATGTGTAAGCGGTATACACCAGCATGCTGCACACCACAAAACAGCCAAAAGAATAAGTCAGTGAATTTCAAGGAAAAAGGATTACCAGACACATGATTGTTTATTGCCCGGATGCTCAGACATCCTGTTTTAGGGCAGCACACTTTTGGAGGGGAAAGTCACCTACTGATGAAAGTAAACTTGGATCCAGATTTCTATTTCGGTATTCTTTCTTCTTCCAGTCTCCTGTCCCCTGCCCCCACCCCCACCCAACTCCACTTGCCAATTACAATCATTTTAAAGAGGACATATCCCGATGGAATGTCTTTGTTTGAAACTTCCTTACCAGAAGTTTATTGTTCTTTTTTTTTTTTTTTTATCCTCACCCGAGGATATTTTTCCATTTTTTGTACAGATAGAGTGGGAGGGAGAGAGAGGAAGGGAGAGAGAGAGAGAAACATCGACGTGAAGGGACACATCGAGTGGCTGCCACCCGCACGACCGACCAGGGCCGGGGACAAACTGCAACCGAGGTACGCGCCTATAGCGGGAACCGAACCCGGGTCTCTCCGGACCGCAGGCCGACGCTCTAACCGCTGAGCCAAACTGGCCAGGGCTATTGTTCTTTTTTTTAAAGATGTCACATTTACTGCTACATGACTGTAATATACAAGTGTCATTTTCTATAAATCTGACAAAACGTCGTTACATTTTTTGCAGCTAGTAGGAAGATTCACGGAGGCCCGCCGGCCCCCTCGCTCCCCCACTGTGCCCAGCAGGTCAGCGCCTGGCCCTGCAGTGCGGATTGGAGTGAGCAGCCGGCTTCCGAGGCCAGCGGCTGAGGTCCCAGGCTGGGCGGGGCACGGGCGGCAGGCGTGGGTCTAGGTGGTGGCGACTCGGTCAGCCTGGCTGTCCCACTGTCGTGCTTGGGCGCCGGCCGCTCCTATGGGGTCTTCTGCAAAGGTCTGACCTGCACGCTGCTCTTCCACCTGGCCTGGCGGCTGCATATCAACTTCCCCACTTCTACATCGCGGCTCCATGATGCTCAATGTCCACCTGCAGGTTCCTACTGAGATCCACTGAAGAGCTTCCACCTCTGACACGGCTTGTCCTGGGGCTTCCGCATCGGAGAACACGGCATGAGGGACGGAAGAGGGGCTGGGGGCACCTGCCTCGCCAAAGTGCAGGGAGAAGACTCGGACAAGATACTATGTATGTATCCTCGGAACACAGGAGAGCCCTCGCCCACCAGGCGCACCTTCCTGGGTGAATAAGCCTGCGGTTGCAGTCACGGAAATTCACAAAATGATGTTATCATTGGAAATGAGAAGTGATCTAAGGCCAGCCTCCTGCTTCACAGTGGCACCAAAGTGCTTCCATATTTGAAAGAATCAATAAGAAGAAATTCCGCCTCCACAGTGGCTCGGAGCCAAGACTGTGGATCTGTTCTTTGATCCTGCAGAAGAATGTTTTGCTGGGGTGTCCTGTGGTGAGGGCCCGGCTAGGAGGAGGTCCCAGGGCCCCCGAAGGCCACAGAGGATGGTGACACAGAGGAGAGAGTTGAGGGTCAGGACTGCCAAGTCTTCAGAAGTGATCAGAAATGGGAATTTTTGAGGATGAACCAAGTGCCTTTTTTGAGCTAAGAGGCTGATTGAAATTGCCGCACCAGCATTCCGTCCTGTCTACAGCGTGGCATACACATCCCCAAATATTCCTGAATGATGAGACAGACTGTTTCCCCAGGTGGTCAGAGTCAACAGCAGCATACAGGAGAACGCTACCAAGTGTAACAAGTACCTCAAGTGATCTGCAGATAACACTGGGATGTCTGGCTGTGCAAGCTCTTGAGGTAGCAAAGCCATTATGCCCTAGTTAAGGTACAGCTGAACAATAAAAACAGTGAGATTACTTCTGCAAGCTGTCTTAGAATGGTTTCTTTAAGTCTGATGCAAACAGTACAGCTGTGAAGTTCCTGCTCTGGCTTCTATGTCCAGACAGACTTCAAATAAGTGAAATTTAAACTCACAGAAAGGTGGTTGATACCGAAGAAATTTTTTGAGCATGCTTTAAAGTGTGCTTGAAAGACGTTCAGGATTGGAAGACCAACCATTTCCAAGAGAACATGAATATACATTATATAAATATCACAGAGACCATAAAGATTTAACATAAAGTCCTTTATAAACCATCACCCATTCTGAAGGGCTACTGTCCTGGATGCTGTCTCTCCAGGTTCTGGGAATTAAACCCACAATCCGGGTATGTGCCCTGACCTGGAATCCAACCCACAACACTTCAGTGCATGGGATGACACTCTAACCACTAAGTAACATTGGGCAGGGTAAGGTTTTTGGAGATAATTCCTTTTTTGTTATTTGCTGATAACTGTGATAAAGGTCAGTTAAAAGTAAGTTTTTAAGAAGTCCCAAAGTAAGACAACCCTTTTCAGGATTATGGATTGCATATATCAGTTTATAATGTGTGTTAGATTACTATGCCACAAGCTATTTTAGTGTCTTGGGAAAATGAAAAATAAAATCTGCTCTTTAGCATAATATATGTTTAGAAAAAAAAAAGATTTACCAATATCTATTAATTTTAAAATGCATGCATACTTCACCAACCTAGCAATTTTATTCCTGGGAATCTATCCCAAAGAAATAAACATATCAGTAAAGATATATAAGATATTTATTGTAGCATTATTTGTAGTGCCAAAAAATGGAAACAAAATAAACACTCAACCGTTGGGGATTGCCGAGTAAACAATGTTACATCTAAATCATGGAATATTGTGCTGCCATTAAAATATGGATTCATTGTATACCCAAGTGAATTGGAGATACTTCTTCTGGGTGTTGCTACTTGGAAAAAAGAAACATATCCTTAAAGCTTGAGAATATGGTCCCATTTTTTAATTTAATGATTATAACATTTCTGTATTTGCATATGTATATAAGTATGTTGTGAATAGGTCTGCATAAAATGATATAAATTGAGAAAAATGGAGGGATACATCAAGGAGTGAGCAAAAGTAGGTTTACAGTTGTTTGTATGGAAAATAACAAATGATTAATAAATAATAATACAAGAGTAAATTCTGTGTTTTGTGTACTCACAACTGTAAACCTACTTTTGCCCCCCTGTATAGACTATTAACATGGATTATCATGGGAATGGAGGTTGAAGTAGGGAAAAGAGGAGATGAGATTTTTTAAAAACCTGATTACAAAAGCATGTATATGATCACATTTATGCATCATTTAAACCATGTATATAAATTATATATAAATATACTGAAAACTAAAGATTTTTGAAAAAATAAAAGGCTTGAAAAAATAATACTTGAAATTTGCACAAATCTATAATAATTCATCAATGGAAACTAGAAGTCAAGATAGGAAGTAAATCATCTGAGGCAATTTATTCTTATGGTGAAAAAGTATTTCTTAGTACATTATGACCACACTGTAATATTAAAATGCCATTAAAATTCAAAATCTGTATATTTCTATTTAAAAACATCTGGGAATATAAAATAATGTCCATTTAATAACATTAACTGCTACCATTTGTGGGACACTTTGGTGTCAGGCACTGTGCAGACGTTTTCATCTCCATGCTATGAGGGAGACATTATTTTCCTTAATTTGCAGTAGCTAAAATTGAGAATTAGAGAGGGTGAGTGGTCCAGGGTTTCCCTGCCATTAAATGGCAGACCCAGAATTGAAACTGTTATTTGTCTGATTCCAGAACCTAGACTCTTCACCACTATTCTAGGTGTGTTCCCGGCTGTCCTGAGACCAGATCTCCTCTGTATTATAACCCTTGTTCTTCTGGAAGGGTTGTTGTGGTGATATAGGCAATCTTCTTAGCTGATGTTACGACTGGTTATGGGGCTTCTGTGATATGTGGTATATCCAGAAAGACGAAAACCCCATTAAAAAAATTCTATGATGTGTGCTGTTTATCTAGTTTTGTTCCCTAACACTTTTTTTTTTTTAAATATCCAACACTGAGCATAACTTTCTTAATTCAGAATTGTATGACAATGACAAAAATAATCATTCATTTATCAAAAAATGCTTAGGATAAAGTGGGCCGGGAGCCAGGTAGAGGGGGGCAATGAGGAGAAAAAGGGAGACATCTGCAATATTCTCAATAAAGATAAATTTTATAAAAATATATGTTGAGTACTTACCATGTACAAAGCATTATTATAGGCATTCTATTATATACTGATATATACTGCAAACTATACAGGATTTATAGTGAGGACCTTGTTTCATCTTGTTAACAAGAACTTAGGTGCTTACTAGCATTATTCAAGGCACTGTTGGGTACCAAAGTAAAAACAGACACAAAGTCCCTTGTGTTGTGAAACTCAAATTCTAGTTTGGTTGGGAGATAGGGGCAGGCATTAATCAAACACTTAAGTACATACTAGAAAGAAATTTAAAATATATATATTAAGTGCTATGAAGAGAATAAAACAGGATGATACAAATAAACTGTTAGGAGGGGGTTAGACTGGGTGGTCAGAAAGACTTCCACAAGATCGTGAATGACAGATTTGTGGGTCAAAGCAAAATGCTTAGCCTCAGGAAGCCAGTGGGTGTTTAAACAGGGGGGAACTGTGATCTACTTTGTCCTTTTTAAATTACACTTTGATTAAAATGTTGAATGACCACATAGTATACAACGTGAAAAGGCATAGACTGAGAAGATACATATAAAACATAAATGATTATGACCTTAAAATTAGTAGGCAACAGATATGAATAGGTAATTCATAGAGAAAAAGTTAATGTCCAATAGTCATATGAAAAGATACTTGACCTCACTAGTCATCATGGAAATTCCATTAAAATAACAATTCAAAAATTTTTAAGTTTGAAAACACCGAGTTCAGAAATCAACTGGTGGGAGTATGAATCAGCACATCCACTCTGGGAAGAACTAATGAAACTATGCATACCCTGTGATCTAGCAATTCTACAGTCTACATCCAGGTAATGGAAGTCCTACACACGCGCACAAAGAGCCGCCTACCAGGAAGTTCACTGGGACATCCTAACAGAGAAAAATATAAAGCAACCTAAATGTCAATCAATAGGAAAATTTCAAAAAGTCAGTTGTGGTTTATTCATACAGTGAAATACCACAAGCAATTAAAATGAATCAAAAAGACCTGTAAGAATCAACATGGATAACTTTCAACAAAGGAATGTTCAGTGGGGCAAGGGGGGTACAAAATGACACCTTCCGTGTAAATTGTTAAAGCATACAAAACAATCCTGTGTGTTGTTTATAAATACATGTATGGAGTAAAAGTGTAAGAACAGCCTGAGAGGACAGACACCCATGTAAGATGATTGCATGTGGGCTGTGGAAATGAGGAAGGGAATAAAGAAGAGTCACCATACTTGTAATATCTATTTATATCATCTTTGTAATGCTATTCATATCTGCGACGACAAAACATTAACAATTTGTTAATTCTGGGTGGTGAGTATACTTGTGTTATAAAATAATTTGTATTTACTGAACTTTTAATATTTTTCAATAAAAATCCCAAGTATTACTAGGGCTGCTCTTAAAGAATGAGTTATAGAGAGGCAGGAGATCAGTTAAGGTCCAAGCAAACAAAACACAATGGTGGCTTGAACTGGGATTGTAATAGAAGTGGAAAGAAAAAGATCAATCAGGTGGTATTTTGGAGGTAAAGTTTTAGAAGTTGCTGTTGAATTGAATATAAGGGTGAAGGGAAGTGAGGAATAAAGGATGTCTATTAATTTGGAATCTGTTTTTGTATGCAGACTTACTTCCTGCTTGGAGTTTGATTTTGTTGGGCAAAAACATGGATAATATGAAACTACCTGTACAGTTCCATTAAATGTCTCTTGGGAAAGTTACTGGTTAATTATTTCAGGCATATAGATAAGAAAATTATACTTCCACATCTTGTTAGGAGGTGCTCTCCTCCCAAGTAATGCAAAGGCTCACTAATAGAGCTTGGTTGGTACCTGCCATATTTCTAGTAAACTAGGTTTTTTTTTTTTCACTTGAGTTCAACCTTCCTCTTATTTGGATTAGTCTTTCTCCCAAATTTCCCATGGCAGTGACTAGATCTTCAACTCTCTAGTTACCTGTCTTAAGTGGCAGTATGAAAGAGTGGTATAGGGGCAGCTTTTAAATTCCACCCCCTAATCTACATCACTATTCCCCAAATAAACAGTGTGCTTGCTATTCAAACAGAGCTTTAGGATCAAGTCTCCTAGCCACATTTTCAAGATTACCATTCCCTAAAACCCTTTCATACAAAGGCTCTGGAGCCAGCATGAGACTCAACAATCTTAGGTTAGCCAGACCACAGCATTTAGGTTAGATGTAGATCGTAGATCGTAGAAACAGAGGCTGTAATATTCACTTATGCCTTCTTTAAAAATAAAATTTAAGCCCTGGCCGGTTTGGCTCAGCGGTTAGAGCGTCGGCCTGCGGTCCGGAGAGACCCGGGTTCGGTTCCCGCTAAGGGCACGTACTTCGGTTGCAGTTTGTCCCCGGCCCTGGTTGGTTGTGCGGGTGCAGCCACTCGATGTGTCCCTTTCACATCGATGTTTCTCTCTCTCTCTCTCCCTCCCACTCTATCTG